GAATACTTGCTTTCAAGATTCGGCGATTATTCAAGGACTTTGTGTGCTTTGTGCGCACTTTTTGCTAATAATTTCAGAATGACACTTCGCTTAATGAGATGTGCATTTCAAATTGACTGGAATTGAAACTAATGACGAATGATACCTTCAAGCAAAAAAAAGGGAGGAAAAAAGCGAAGAGAAATAAGTCGATATTAAGTTCCGATTTCTTTCTGATCGACACCAAAAAGGCTTCAACAAAGTGTTGTGGTTTATGAAAGCTGCTGAACTTTGCTGAATACGGCATATTTAGGTGATGGAACATTACGATTTGATTAAAGGCAGTGGAAGTGGGTACAAATTGATACAAAACATTTGCATTTTATGGATTTTGGGAGCAAACAAATACATATTTTTAGAGACTGTCACAACAAACGGTTCCAATAAATACGTTTTCATCAAATATCACTCTTCACTAATAACTGAGTATATCATCACATTCCGAAGGGGTGCAGCAGGCCAAAATAGTCTTTATATCTTTAGGGGGTAAGGGTTTGTAAGTCAAGCCTAAAGCTTTCGGACAAATGGCTTTACCACCTTGTTTCTTAAAACTCTAAGAAGACTTTCAGGTGGCCAAGAAAAGGTGGCTCTAAAAGAAAAAGTGCGCACACAGTGCTCGATCGCTCCTCGAAATTAANGTTTCAGGTGGCCATATCCGATAGCTTCTCCCATCGAATAACGTATGCATACTCTAAAAGAAAAAGTGCGCACACAGTGCTCGATCGCTCCTCGAAATTAAAAAAAAAAAAACATATCCCTACAAATAATTGAAATTACACTTGGTTTTCATCACACCGGAGTGCACTTTCAAGTAGCTCACTTACCTCTTGAGATGGCTTTTGGGCTGCGGAATACGGGCGTCAATCTATCANCATCACACCGGAGTGCACTTTCAAGTAGCTCACCTACCTCTTGAGATGGCTTTTGGGCTGCGGAATACGGGCGTCAATCTATCACTTCACCTTCGGTTAAGAACCTCCAAGTCATAGATGTACTCCTAGAGAACGAGGTCCGTCTCGTGATCAGCTGGTTTACGCCGCTTTCTACATATTGCAATAGAGAAGAAGACTCTAGACGACTCAAATCATCTGTACGAACTTGCAGACGAGGTCTAGAGGTTTATAAAACAACCTCTGGTCCCGACAGCATACCGTCAGGCCATAAACGACATTCACAGGGCGTCGCTCTCAACTTACACTGACTCCTGGCCTGTCAATGCCGTTTTTGGAACACAGCCACCTGACGTAGATGTGACAGAGCTTCGTCTGTCTCGGGAGACTCACACCACCATAGCCCATGTTCGCTACTGTAGCAGGCTAAAATNCCAACTTACACTGACTCCTGGCCTGTCAATGCCGTTTTTGGAACACAGCCACCTGACGTAGATGTGACAGAGCTTCGTCTGTCTCTGGAGACTCACACCACCATAGCCCATGTTCGCTACTGTAGCAGGCTAAAATCATATCTGAGCAGGATAAATGCAGATGTTCCCAACCAGTGCCCGGCATGCGGAGAGTCACCTCACGACTCACGCAACTCTTTGAGTGCTCACTTAACTAACGCCTATGGTCTATTCCAGTCGGAGTTGCACATTTCCTTGGTCTCCCGTTCGTCTTCTACCCCTGTTCGTTCTAATTACACTTATGTTATTCTGTTTTCCTTTATCTTCATTCTTATCTTCCTTTTATTAGCTCGGGATGTAACTATGTAATATTGATGCGCCTAAAAGATGCAGCGATTTATATTCTCAAGTTACATACCTGATGACAGTACGAATGGTAGTTATAATGGGGAGGTTTTAGTTTTTTAAACTATATTATCTTTATACTCTATCGATAACAAAATCGATAGTAACATCCGTCAAAATATCGATAGCAAAACCGATAACAAATTCGATAAAAATNTATCTTTATACTCTGTCGATAACAAAATTGATAGTAACATCCGTCAAAATATCGATAGCAAAACCGATAACAAATTCGATAAAAATGGCAATAGGAACATCGATAAAAAAATCAATAGAAATATCGATAACAAAATAGATAAAAATTTCGATAACAAAGTTGATAAAAATATCGCTAACAAAATCGATAAATGATCGATTAATAAACCGATAAATAAAAATATCGATAACAAATTCGATAAAATATCAATGACAATATCGATAACAAAATCATTAAAAATAACGATTACAAAATCGATAAAAATATCGATTATTATAACGATAAGTTCCGAAAATATCGTTAGCAAAATCGATAACAATCTATAAAAATTTCGATAACAAAACCGATAAAAATACGATTATTATATCGATAAGTTCCGAAATAGGACCCATTATGCATTCTTGTAACGAACAACTAATTTGTACTGAAGTAAATATTTTTCGTAGATTCAGAAAATCTAAGCAGCTTAAGATAAAGTTTTAGTTCCACCTCATTGTTCTGCAAGCAGTGAGATTCGGGGTGATATTTAGGCCCATCGCGTAGAAACCAATACTTTAGTATCCTCTTAATAAGTTTACTAAAGAGAAAATACTGCCATTCTTTACCCGGTGAGTACAATTCTAGAGTACTTTTCCTCGGCAACTTTTGCGCAACGTGATTCTCTGCAATATCAATATGGCCTGGTAACCAAATGTGTCAGACCGGGCGAAATTCCCTTGCCGGAAGTCGAGCAGTTTAACAGGCATTCGACTACATTCTTAATGCCAGTTCTGCCTGTGATGCAATACAGTGATTTGGAAGCCTAGATTAAAGGTTAATGAATAGAGTCCTGCTTTAAAGAACCATCGACCGTCACTTCCGTCAAGCTCCGACATATCCGTGTAGAAATTCACCGGTGTCGTTTTGCAGCTACTGCTTCCCATTTCTAAAGTTGATAAAATACGAAGCCTTTCTCCGCCGAAGTAAAATATTATGACATTTGTCTTTGTTTTGCCATTACATATCTGTCAATAAAAATCGTATCGCTGTTCAAATTTGCAAATAATATTTTGAGTAAAAGCAAAAAGCTAAAAAAAGCTAAGTAATTTTAAGAAAAGGCTAAGAAAAAAGCTAGAAGCTAAAGAAGATTTTTCCGGCTAAAACCAAATAAAGAAAAGCTAAATCTAGCCGGCAAATAGACAACACTGATTGGGACGACAAAATGGCATGCCAGAAGATTCTATTAGATTTTATGAAGTCAGAGCTGCGGCAAGGGTGTTTGCTTCCTCCTTAGGATCCTCGAAGGGGCTCTCATTTTCGCTTTAGTTGAATGCTATTTTTAAGAACAATTTTTACTTCTCACTAAAGAAGTTGAATTTAACTATAAAACTAAACTAAGGGCCGAATGGTCCGCAAACCTTTCTAGTGTAATTTCTTTTAATCCTAAAAATATAGCGGTTGAAAACTTCAGAGGAGTCTGGTGTATCCCATGTCACTGGTTACGGGTTAAGTTATAAATGCTAAACGAGCAAAGCTGCTGGAAAGCACAATGCTTCAAAAAAATATTTCTTGATTTATGACGTTGATCAAGTAAACAAGCCTAATAACTATGTAACTATAAAATGTATACGTTCAAGTTCGCTTCTTAAGTCTTTTGTTTTATATGCAGGTAAACTTCTAAAACCCTAAAAGGGCCACATAACTAAACACAACAAATGCGTTCTTTAGCAATTAAAGTAGTATACAAAAAAAAAAAAAAAAAAAAAAAAAAGAAAAAAAAAAGTTCAACATAAATGTTTCCCCAAATACGAATCTTAAGTAAAACAAAGCGCCATACTAAGTAAAAGTGAAGTGCGAAGCGCTAATGGAAAAATGTAAACAGAGGCGAAGAATAGAGTCATTAAATGCAAATCGAAGACATAAATTAACATACAAAATTACGTGAAAAAAGTGATGAAAAAGAAGTGAATGAACGTAGGAAAGCAGCAAAATAAACTTAGTAAAATGCTGCAAAAGAAAAAAAATTAAGGAGGACAAAGTAGGGAATCAAAAAGGTGTGTTGTTAAGCATGCGAAATAGATTGACTAATACGAGCAGGTATTGGCTGACGCTGTCTAGTTGCGCGTAGAACATTGCGCTATGGCTGGACGGGCGCGCTGACTATGCCCACTGAGTGACCATTTGAGTTTGCTGTGCTTCTTTTTTGTTGTTGTTGTTGCCTACTTCGATGGCTATTTGTTTAACGGACAGCCATTTGGCTAGTTGAGTTTAATGCAGTTTCAATGGAGCGACAAATTGGAGAAGTCAGTCAGTCGACTTATTGACGCGAATGCGGATGGACGAGTAATTGGGGACAAATTGAAGGCGAGCTAAGTGAGTCAGTGACAGTTTTAAAAGTGAGAATGTAAATATCGCGGAGTTGCAAAGTGATTGATGCGGAGTTTAATAGTGATATGAGAAAGCAATACAAAAAAAAAAAAGACGATGCAAAATAAAAATATAATGCGAGTATGTAACACAGCTAAAATTTTTTTCACAAAAGCCTGAAAAATTCTATTGAATTACGCGAGTGAATAGAAGAGTATTCGATCAATATCGCTGGTGAGATAAAACTATTAGTCAAACTTAAAAAAATACCCATAAAAGTTGTATACAAAAAGAAAGCCAACATATAGAAAATCAATGGAATTAATTAAAAAAACCAACTCTCAACTCCCACGCTATTCGCTTTTAGTCACTATATATGCTTCGTCGTGGCATTGTTGTTGCAGAGCTTAATCCTATTGTTGTCGAACTCATATGTCAATATACTTTTAGCATAGTGTTCCTAGGGCAATTTGTTAAATACATTCTCGGTAAGCACAGTAAGCCAATATGTCATTGCCTTTACTTATGGTACCGGCATTTTGGAGTGGTTTACGCTTCTAGCTGGCGTTGTTATTGTTGCCAACGTGGTCGTGTCCAAGTTGCGTGCGCCTCACACATAACTGTTGACAAAAGTGCCGCGCCGAATTTTTGGTTCAGACCAAAAAGTGCGTTCAACGTAAGCGGTTGCTTCAAGCGTCATTAAAAGTTTAATAAATGAAAGGAACGGAAATAATTTGCAAGCGAAAATCGTTAACTAAAGAGTGAAGGACTTCATAGTAGCAAACAAAATTGCAAAGTGGTTTTGAATTTCAAAATTGTTTTCTTGAAAAAATATCGATATCGAAAAATTGTTACGTAAAATAAATAGATTTTAATATTTGTGGAAATATTTACCGGAAAATTCAGTTGAAAACTTTTGGTTTTCTTTTTTTTTTGGAAAATTGACAGTTTATTAAAGTCGCGTTTTTTCAATTAGACGTCGGTTTTATTTTAACGTCTATACGTTGGAATTCTGCAATCTATGCAAGTTATTGTGATTGCCGAAAAATGCGCAGAAATTTAAGAACTTTACTTCTATTCTGCTCGCTTTGGCATGCAATTTTATGTGTTGAATTAAATACAACAGTCGCGCAAGTGAAATTGTTACCCGCCGATATACAGGATCTGCAAATCAAAGCGAATGCGAGCGCGGCACAGCTGCTTTCAATGGCCGTAGACGATGGGGAGGATACAGACATAATTGAGGGTGAGTTGGTTGGTATGACGTGGTAAGGAATTATGAAAAAAAGATGAAAAAGAAATTATATGAAAAAGCGATTTACCAAAAAAAGGATCAATAAAATAAAACTTTTTTGTGAATCCGCGGCTCACAGTTCATTGACTTCTCCCTACTACAACGCTGCCGGATTACTCACATAGGCGGTCATGAGAGATTTTAAGTAGTCTAGTCACGGCCCTATTGTAATGCTTGATTTTTCGTTATCCACTGGATTCTACATGTAAAAAAGTATACAAGTTTCAAGTGACCTTCAGTAGTAAAAATTAAAAAAAAAAAAAACAAATTGATTCGACTTTCTTTATAGAATGAATAATAAAAAGCCTACATGTACAAACATCGAAAGAATTGAAAATCAATTACATTTATGCATGCGCGTGCGCACTCCGACAAGCTATTTGCCAATGTTTACATTTGAATATGGTAACAAATTCAAAAAGAAACAACGACAATACTAAATTTGTAAAGACGTGCCCGCACGACAATGTTTAACAGCTCAATAGACATGTGTGTTGGTTGTTCTAAGAAAGCCTACGATTTTTTTCGCACGAAGCAGAAGAAGAATTGAGCTTATCGATACATCTTGCTTTTGTAACCAATTCATGTTATAAAGGGGAGATGCCGTTATTAAATCGATTAAATCGAAAATCGTTTAATCGAGCCCGTCCGATTCGATTTTTTGTCGATTTTTTAGTCCGATTCGACCCGTGAATCGATTCAATAAATTCGAGAATCGGACATGCGATATTTCCTTAATTGATGCATATTGAGCTACGATCTACCTCAGAAAATCTATAAAATTTTAAAGAAATTTGTATTGGAGGCTGGTACAAAAAAATAATGGGGCTTGATACCTCCCTCCTTTCTAACTTGAGAGAGCAAAGGCCAAAGAATTCAATGACATGCCTCTCTGTCTCCTCCGAGTAAAAGGCTCGTCAGGGAAGCCTTTTGGAAATAACTCTGTATAAAATTATGGCTAATACTACAACAAAAACTACACTTGGAATTCCAAAGGTTATAAAAATTTCATTAAAAGTTTCCACTCCTTGATTACTCCTTTAAAAAAAAACATTCAGTACGTATGCAGTGGGTAATAATAGAGTTAGCGAAAATAATATACAAGTATAGTATAAGGTTACCACCTATTCGAAATTAAATACAAATTAATTAAAACATCAAAATATTTTTAATAGGGTTGCCTACCTATTTTAAATCGCATAATTATTAAATTTTTGTTTATTAAAAAAAAAAAATGTGAAAATATTACTAATTCATGGGTACCAAGAGGTGCTTAAACAATGCTTTCCCTATATACAAAGTGTTACCCTTAGGACGTTAGTGTAAGGTTGGCACTTAATTTCGATTCTACACAATCTATCTAAAACAAAATGGATATCAAATGAAAGGTACTGTTGAGAACTTTGGTTCGAAAATATTTTCGATCAGGGTTGCCACGCTTCTTTGTAATAAGAATTTTTAGTTTGTTAATTTCACAGCACATATACGAGCAGAATATGTTCTATTCATTCCAGCGGGTTTCAAAATACGGTTGTCTCCTAAATTTTAAAGTAAGATATTTACTTAAAATTTATCGAAACCCAATTGTTTTTATTTATTTCCAAAATATTTTTTAAAACTATCCAAATGACCAGTCTTTGATATCAAAACCATGAAAACTTAAAAAAGTATATGCAGTTCGAGCAAAGCTCGGTCAACCTGATATTGTACATTTATGGGTTGACATAAATATGAATGTACAGATATATGATCCCTACTTATATAATTTGTCTTATAAATAAAAGGAGAGACTTAAGTTTTCTTTTTTTCACTGCAATCATCACTGAATGCAGGTCAGTGTGCTATAAACAGTATTGCATTGTTTATTATTCCAAGATAAATCGAAAGAAGGGTTTTTTAAACAATAAAAACCCCACTAAAAAATTGTTCTTTATATACAGAAACATCAAATTTCAAATTATAAGTGGTTTAATAAGTAGTTCGCAACTGTCGAGTAAGGGACGGAGTAAACCACTGCCATCAACTACGATAAAGGAGCGAACTTATAGTTCTACATTCACTAGAAACGCATTAAACGAAGAATTCCACTATAGGGACTCTTAACTATACTCACTACTTTGGGATTATCATCTGCAAATCGTCTCTTTGCGCTTTCATTCCTTTTCCTATGCGGATCGACCATGTTAAACCATAAATCTTAATGTCTCACAGCCAAATACCGCATTTACATAAACGGCTTATAATTTACAGAATTAAAAGCAATGAATGAATCAATGGAAAAAAACCTGTAAATCGATGATAATCTTGAATTGCATTCAGTTGCAGTGAAGCAGTAGCTGATGCTATATTTTTTATTGGCTGTTGATGCTAAAAAAAAAAAAAAAAAAAAAAAGAAGTAAAGAAGTTCGGCTGGCTTGGAACGTGCCACAACATTTAAACGGAACGACTACAAGTGGGACTGTTGGCATATTTGCAGACATAAACAAAATGTACTTACGTACGAGAGTAAAGGGTGTTTAAATAGGAGATAAATAATATTACAATGATTCAAAGCAATCTACAACTATATGTTAATACGCTAACATACACTTTGTCACCGTCCGTTTGGGGATTCTATAAAACCGATTTGAAAACCAAGAACAAAATTGAGAAAAAAAATTCCGTAGATAAGGAAAGTTTTTGGTTGAAAATTACGGCCTAAATCGTCGTTTAAAAATCTACATATTTGTTTATAGTTGTTGTTGCGACCTGTTCAATTTGAGTTGTTTTCGCATTTTTTTTACTTCGTATTTGTAATTAAACTTTGCAATGAAGAAAAATGTGATGATGAAGGAAGGAAAATGATTAAGACAAAACAGTGAAGGCAAAATTGGAGATAAAGAGGAAAATTAAAACAATGAGCAACATATAAGAGTTATACGGTGTTTTGATGAGGCAATTCAATAGGCAACTTTCAGTTGAAAGCAATAACCGCCTGGTGTGAATGGTCTTTCAGCTAATCGCTTCCAATGAAGTTGGGGGGCAGCCAACTTTGGATTCAGCTAATCACCTCATGTGAACAGCGACTTAGGGTAACTGAAAGGGTAAGAAAGTTTATTGAAAATTTACGATAGGAATCGAAATAAATTCAGTAATAAAAAACTTAGTTATCGAAAGTTATCAAGTTATCACCGAAATTTATCGAATCATAAAAGTTTATAAATAGTTCTAGTTAAGTTTTCGAATTTTATAGACACATAAACTTAGTTGTCGAGCTATAAAATTTTATGGGATTATCGGAATTTGTCGAGTTAATAAAATGTATTAAGTTATCGATATTTGTTGAATTATTAATATTTTTAGAGTTAAAGAAATTTATCGAGTGATCGTAATGAATTGAATTCTTTTAACTTGTCGAGTTATCGATAGTTTTAAAAATCGATGTCAAGGTTTTATAAGTTTATTGCGTTATTACTGCTTATCGAATTTTATGACGTTATCAAAGTGTAGTGAGGTATCGAAATTTAACAATGGCTTTCGAAAAATATGGAGCTATGAAAATTAACCGCGTTGTAGAAATTTATAGAGATATCCAAAGCTTATCGAGTTATCGATTTATATCGAGATATACATTTATCGAGACATAGAAACGCATAGTTGTCGCAATTTATCAAATTATCGGTATGTATCAAATTATCGAAATTTATCGACAATCTGAAATGTATCGGGTCAATTCCAAGTCCTGCCAAAGTCCTCCAAAGATTTAAAAAATTATAGTCCCGCTTTAGGTCCAAAGCAGCAGCTTTTCCGACGTGCTAAGTTAGAAAACCTCTCCAAGGCTCTTAAAAACTAGAAAACCAGTAATTTGTTTCATTAAAAATTCTCAATTTTGAAAGCGCTAACAGAAAAATGAAGATAGAGCGATGAAATTTTGCCACAATTATTTTTTTTTGGTGACCGACAACGAAATTTTCAAATGGGACCAAAGAAAAAACTGCTTTCGTTTTTTTTAACACAGTCTAATGTATATATATAAATAGTTCAATGAATTAATAATTGTTTCTTATGTGAATAGAAGGACAACTATTCAATGATCTATCTTTGCAGCCGTGACACAAAAGAAATAGTGATAAAAAATTAAAATTTTCTGACCTTAATAAAGCACCCTTTACAAACTCGTACATACCCTATTCATGAGAAATGGGAGTAGCGGCACTTACATTACAGTAGTGAGCCGAAGTAAGCTTTTAAATAATCTTACATATATGTTGTATCGGTGTGCAAAGCTGTAATAACTGGGTTTCGATTGCGCATCAAAATCCTTGAACCTGAAAATCGAATTACTGGCTAATTGCTACGTTGAGATACAGGGGCGTAGTGCTTACTTCAGTGAATGGGGTGGGGTAATAAAAAAAGGTGCTGCAAAACAGAAAAACAACGCCACTTAGATTTCGGAAACAAAATTTAAATATGCTCGAAAGTTGTTTCAAGTAACTACAGGAAAATAAAAAGAACAATTAGCGGAAAGTAAAAAATTGGTTACATTGAAAAAATGAAAAATTTCTATAAACTAAATTACTAAGTTACAACAGAAAAACTTACAAACCGTTAAGTGGCGCAGTAGCGTATGTATAGCCGAAATTTATTAGTCATTAACTGTCAGTAAATTATTTTTTAACCTCAACTTTTTCGTATGCTTGATGAAATCCCCACTGCTTTTGTCAACGCGAATTTTAAAAACACATAAAAATGCAACCAAATTTTGCCATAAAATTGAACGTGTATTGTAATAGTACCGTATTGAATCACAAGAAATCGCAAATCGATCAAGTAGAAATTCATATAGTATTCCACCAAAAATAAGAGTACGACAAATTTGCATGTAAACAAAAAAATATTCGATTTTCTGGGTCACCAAGAGACTTATTACAAAAGACAGTCCAGGAGTTGTGCTGCTTTAGAATGCACAAATACGCGGCTTTGTATTTACTTTGCATTCCGACATGATCACCGCCAAAGGCGCTCTCTAGTGTGCTCATGAAAATCAACTTAAGGAAAACAGAACCTTACCCGCTATACATTTGTCAATGCGCAGCAGAAAGTACAAACATAAGTACATACAAATTCGATTAGAATCTAGAAATACAACTCACGAGAGCGTGGCAACACTTTAATTGCCAACATTTACGAGTTTTGTCTAAATTGGTTTTGATTTATTGTGGGCATACGAGAGTTTAAAAATGTGGATAACAAACTGATAATCAAATTTCTTGTCTTGTCGCTAGCCATAAAACGCAAGAATCTCATTTATTTCACACCTAAATACGTTTGCAAATTCAAAGAACACTGTTTAAAAGAACAGAAGCTAAGCCTGAGGCGCTATTATTTGAACATTAGGGATGCTCTTATTTCAAAAGAACTTTTATTAATTTCGCAATAATTACAAGTATGTATGTACATATGTAAACAGTTAAAAATAAAACTGAGTGCAAAGTTAATGGACCCCATGCATAAAAAGTGAGCTTAAGCTCAGACTCAATTTTAGTACTGATGCAGTTAGCTGAAGCTCAAGCATTTGCACTGAAAATCGAGTAGTAGCTTAAGCTCACTTTTTTAGCCATACTAAATGGCATATGGATCAAACGGGGTAAGGTCCCTTAGTCTATGGTCAAAGGTAAAAAGAAAAAAGACTTGACTTGACTTCAGCGCCGGTAATAGTCCACTGACACTATCTTGGTTTAGGTATGAGACCAAATTATGCTGAGCATACTTTGTATGGAAGAAAATGCGAAACCCTTTCAAGTTGAAAGTTTCAACCAAAAAAAGCGACTATCAAACTAACTTTTCTATCAAAATCTTTGGAAATTTGTGGTTGTTTGCACAAAGTGTGAAGCTTTGATTTAAATGGTTTATTTTATTGAATTAACTATACTTATATAAAAAAATATTAAAATTCAAAAAATCGGATTAACTTAAAAGTACAGACATCTGAGTATAGTTCTTAATTAATTGACCACATATTGTACATGCCAATGGCAGAGGTCGAAAGCGTTTTCAATAGCTTCGCAAGCAATAAAATAATACCTATATACTATATAATACCAGCAAAAAAAAAAAAGACAAATTATGCTGAGTATAAAGATTTTGTTAGACCAACATACATATATAAGTACTTTGAACGCGGGCAGAGTATGAGACTCAGCGTGCCTTCTTCAAGCAATTAGTTTAATACTCATCTAGCAATGGAGTGTCTTCTCTACAGTAGACAGCCAATCACTTGATGAAACTCAAATTTTTGAGTACGTGATCCCTCTAAACGTGATTGCAATTATCATTATGCAGCAGACAGACGAGGAGTTGAATAAAGGCTTTGCATGCTAATGGGACTTTTTGTAATACATAATTACATAGGACTGACATTTTTTGGTTTACATTTCAAAAAAATTTGTACCGCCTTAACACAAAATAAATAAAGTTTTTTTGTTTTTTTTAGAGAGAGTACAGTCAAAAGCAATGTGCGAACATATTCATATATTTATTAAGGCATCGCACGTGCGACTTAAGTAAATATTTATGATAAATGAGCTTAGCGCTCTTGACTCGGAAGTATATATAGAAAGAGAATTAAGGACAATGAACTAATTAAGTAACACATTTATGCCTAATAGAATGGACAGAAACGCTCCAGCTCGGAAAGTAAGAGGAAGAGGAAGGCGGCTTCAGATTGAACATTTAGAATATTATTGAGGCATTTAAAAATTAAATACAATTAATTTAAATAAACTACTACAATATGGGTATATGGGTATAAATCGAAATGTTTTCAGAAAAAAGCTTCAGTTCTAAACAAGTAGGAGGGTTGCCACCTGTTTGCAATAATCATTGCTACTTGAATTAAGGGAATGAGGTAAATGGAATATGTATCACAATATGGATGTCAGACGAAATGGCTTTAATAATGTTTTAGTTGGAAAATATTTTGAAGAGGGTTTCCACCTCTGTTAAAAGTTGAATTTAAATTTACAATACTCAAGTTAAAGTGTCAAACGTAAGACTGTTTAGAAATGTTCAGCATAAAAATGTAGAAATTTCTGAGGTATCTAGTTGCCAGCTGTTTTTAAATTAAACTCAAAAACAATTATATTATAAGTAAAACGAGTTATTGCAATATAGGTATTAATCGAAGGAGTCTTGCAAAGGCTTTATTTCTAAGCTACATATGTATAGCAGGGTTTCCACATGTTTGAAAATTCAAATTCAACTTTAATTATAGTAATTAGTTAATTTGAATACATACATACATCTGTATGTATCAGACGAAAGAGGTTTAAAAAGGTTGCCAACACTTTAAAAAGTTAAATTCAAACTTCATTCATTTCAATGAATTACGTACGTAGTGTTTGTATGCNCCAATTTTGAATAAATTAGCTTTAATATTTACTAATTTATCGAAGACTTCGTATTTCTCTAAATTACCGTTATATGGGAGGTAGGCGT